GAGAAAATGCTGTGGGGGGAGAGCTATGCGCCAGCAAGAGTCGTCTGTCTAGTTGCCTAAATTCTCCAATTAACCGGTAAGCAAGGTACATAGAAATCAGTGCAACTGCACCCCTGGTTAATACGAAGACCCTTGATGCGCTCTAAATATGATCTCTTGGTTGAAATCAAAAAGTGAAGAAAGCTGCATCGATCCTACAGTTTAGATAGGCATAGGTACGCAACCAGTGTGATGGAGTGCATGGTTAGACGGGTTGCCATTCAGCTGAGATACGGAAAGAATGCGTGGGTAGTGTGCGATTGGGATAACGGCAACTCAAGTTGATGGAGGTTAGGAAGTGCGCTTAAATACAGTATACACGGCAAGCGCATGAAAAACCCACCGGTCTGGAGGCGGGAACATCAGATTGTAGTAATGAGATGCAGTTTCATCAGACGTTCCCACTTGATGGAGTAAAGCGAAACAAAACCGATTGCGTATTAACGCGTTGGTAGTCAAAAACGTGCCCTAACTAGGGTTGACGGTCAAACTTACTTCAACGACGAAATCAGTTAAGCTCCTTTGGATAATACCTGAATACCAAACCAACTAAAATAGTGAGCAAGTTCACTGAAGACAATGATAAAAAAACTCAGATGAAATGGAGGAGATGGAAAGTAGGAACAGAAGTAACTGAAGACTATACCCACAATCTGGATCCACTGAGCTATGGTGGGTGGTGTTTTCGCACCTTCAGAGCCACTCACACCAAATTGGTCAATGGTCTGACAAATTCAGTCTTCTGGCCCTCCAGGTTGGGGGTTGGAGTGACGGTGATTCCTTACTCCATAAAACGGACTCTGGGTAGCCAAGTGGGAAAACCACGTTGCATTGCGGTCAGGTTTTAAATCAAAGGTTTTGGTTGAGAAACCTAATCGTTCTCCTGTCTAGATCTAGGCAACCTGACAGTATCCCGCCCACGCAATACCATGACCTTACATTCAAGCAATTTCTTGATGCTCTGGCCGTCGCAGAGGGAAATACACGGCGCCCTATCTTCTGCATTGAGTAGGGTGGATAGGGTTAAGGATGCTACTCCTCAAGCCTATCCGTTTTTTCTCTCCATTCTCTCGTGCTTTTTCACCATTATCGTCCCGTTCCAATCATTTTTACCCCTTGGTTTCAATCCTTAATCCTTAACCCTCTCCCATCATGGTTCAGTAATCGTTTGTCTCCTAGTTTCGACCTACACGCAATCGCAGGGCGTTGCTCCGGTCCAGTCGGCAAGTCCAGCCAGCGGAGAACATCGGTTTATTCAAAGCAACAAAGTCGCGTGACAACAAACGGTGTTGATTTGTCATTGCGGTCCACGTGCCCACAGAATGTAGCGCTGACTCGGTGAAAGACGACTTCTGAACGCGCTCTTCCGTTATAGAAAAGGTACGGATGCTGTAATGCTCGCTGGTGATTTGAATGTCCAAGTTGGAAAACTGTCAAATAATGAGCTTCATCTGAGTGGCCCACACGGTGTAGGCTCCCGTAATGATAACGGGGAGCAGTTGCTACAGCTGTGTGAAAATGCTTATCACTTTCTTTCGAGCACTAACTTCCGACATAGCACCCGCAGAAGTGTGACATAATGCCCACCAGTCTTCGAACAGCCAGGAACGCAAATCGATCACATCGCGATCAGTTAGTGCTGGACAGGATGCGTTCGAAACTGTCGCTCGAGTTGGAGCACGAGCGTGGACTCTGACCCCGCAATTGTTTGCGCCGACATGCTGATGTTTTTCGGTGAACGTCCGCAACGGCGCTGTGAGCGTATAAATACTTGCCAGCTGGCGAAGTCAAATGCTCTGAATGCGTATCGAAGTGCGCTGGCATCTGACCTGAATAAACGCTCACTGAGCACCACTGAAGATCACTGATCGCACATCCGCCAGATGCTATTAACAGTAAACATGTTTCCATGTGGCTAATCAAATCGCCAACCTAGACAATGGGTCTCGACCCAGTCTCTAAAAGTTCTGGATGCTCGCCGACGTGTTCCGGCTGGAAGCGAATACATTGAAACTCACAAAGTTCTTAGAGCAAAACTGCGTGCTAGCCTGAAAAGAGACCGCGAAGCGTGGTGGTCTCATCATGCCTTGGAGACGGAGACAGTCGCTGACCTTGTTAACCATCAGAAGTTATTCCATCTAATATGATAAATGGGCAACAGGAAATGTGTTGTTAACGAGACCACATGCGACGAGAGTTGATAGCCGGTCCAAAGCTTGTCAAAGCGCCCGGAGCGTTGGGTTGAACCCTACGAGAAGCAGTTCAATCAGTCGGAATTGCCAGCTTCTCCATCGGTCAATGATCGCCCTACTCCCTGGGCCGACCCCCTGGATCCATCCTCGTGCGCAGAAATCTTAGGTGAGGTCATACGGCTGAAATTGAACAAGTCAGCTGACTACATGTGGACTCCAACCAGCTATCTTCAAATACGGAAGAACTGCTATTTTAGAAGACTTACGTGAGTTAGTGAATCTATGGGAGCAGAAGATTGTCGCAACATACTGGAGCCGCTCCGTTATAGTTCAAATTTTTAAGGAAGACTCTGTTTTGATGATGACAACCATAGACAGATCACCCGAGCTACATGTATTCCGATTTATTGCTGACCTCTACACTTTGTCATTTGTTGAAGAACCGCCATGTTTACTAGCAACTCACCGTTGTTGTGTTCTTAGACATCAAAGGGTCCTATGATTCGATTGATTGTTGTGCTCTTTGAAACTGTCTAACGAGGAAAGGTGCTAGAGAAATATGTAAATGTAATAAGAGAGCTGTACGCACATAGTTAGAGCAGTGACGCCATACGGCAAACTCGCCAAGCTTCAATATCTCTAGTGGTGTGAAACAAGGCTGCATGCTGTCACCTTTCCACTTTAACTTCGCCAATGACGAAATTATAGAGATTGTGTTCACTGGACACGACCTACATTGCGTAGAGCTACTCCCAACTGATCGTCTTCTTTACTTAGGCTACGCCGACATTGCTTTTATCTTTGACAGCTTTCAAACGTGCCAAATAGCACTGGACAAATGAGCATTTGGTGTCAGTCGTTTCGGACTATGCTTCGCGCCGTCGAAATGCAAAGATTGTCAGGGACCCAGTCATGCGCTGACCCTTGGTGGTGATCAGCTAGAAGTCGTAGAGAAATCGAAGTAGCTGGGCAGCTATATCAGCGCCAGCAGAATTGAAGACGAGATCACACACCGAACAGTAAAGGCTTGGGGCGTTTTTCTCTAACTCTGCCACCTGTGAGGATGGCGCGACATCACTCTTGTTCTGAAGCGCAGAGTTTGCAATGCAGCCATCCGTTCAACTCTCATATACGGCTGCGAAACCGGGGCCATCAAGTAGACAGACTTAAAGAAACTCGTTACGTTTGACCATCGTTGCCTTCGCAGCACAGTTCATGTCTAGTGGGAACACCGCGTGAGCAATGCGCGCGTTCGGCGCCGCGTATTTGGTGCAGGAAGAGTGAGTGATCCACTCAGCACAAGTATATCACACACCAGGCTCCGATAGCTAAGCCACGTGTTGCGCAGCCAGCACACCGAGTCCCGCATCGTGAGTGGTTCGCGCGACCGGGGTCTGGATGGGAGAATGGGTGGCCAGGCGATGACTTGTACAAGAGGAACGAAGACCCTCACTGCGAACCTGGTGTCAGTTGGTATTTCGCGACTGCTAGGCTGGAGACCGAAGGACGATGGACACGCGTGGTTGGATACACTCGCTGACATGACGAAGATACGACCTCAGTGGAGTTTGTGTTGTGAATTTCTTTGTCCCTCCCTTCCCCTTTAGGTTCCCCCCACAAGAGCGATCTCAAATCTTATGCATAATGTGTTAGCTAGCATTATGTTACCTTTTTATAGCTTTTTAATTAGTACTGTTTAAACACTTATCTTTTTTGTATTGCGGCACATTAGCTGTGTGTCTCTCACCCTCGGCTAATGTGTAATGATGATGAATGTCCGTGCAAAACTGTGGAGACAAATACGCTTGAAGTAACATTTGCACAACGCAAATGATCAACAACCAATTAGGCGAATATAGCAAACACGACGATCAGTAAAATGCGAACTTTTAAACTCGTTTCGTTCGGTCCAATTTCGATAGAAACACACTGGAACATTAAGTTTCACAAACCCTTTAATGCGGCCTAGAATGGAATAAAAAAAGTATGGAGACAAATCCTGAAAGCTGACAGCCAAGAGCAGATTCGCAACTAGCACTACCTAACCAGTGCGTAAATTAAGTAGCATAAGCTGAAACCGTCACAAGCTGGAAAATTGACCTAACTTGTCACTAATGGAGTTCGTTTGAAAATACAAATTACTTATGATGAACAAACGTACGCGCCTGAAGGAATACAAAAGTATTGCAGATGGCCCCTTGCGAAGTGTTGGCATCACCGCAAAAGATAAAAGGCGGTCATGACAATAGTCAAATCACGTGGTTTCGTCAGGCGCAAACGTGCCTCAGAGGGTATGTTACCCAAGCGTGTCATCCAAGGGGCTTGCAATCATGCGAATAACCCAACGAATCCCTTCTACGACACAATAGTTGGTGCAGTCTTTCTAAGATGTGATGAACCACGAATAATTCTCCAGTGTGGTGGTAGAGAAATGAATCCACGACCGTTTTGCCAAAGAATACTATTGTTTTAAAAGTAACACAGGTCAGGACTGCACTGAGAGTAAATAAACTATGAAATGACGCTAGTAAGCAAGCGACAGCTTCGCTATTATAGTGCAAGAGACGTGGAAAAACTTGGTGCCACAACAGACAAAACTAAATCTCGTTTTAATCGGGATTCTCTCGAATCCCTATTGAAGCCAGTGAACAGTAAAATGGTTGTACTTGAAAAACATGGGTCATTAGTTTCATTTCACTGACCACGTCAAACGTTTGAAACCCAGGTAACCGTATTCCCTATAAAAAGTAAGCTATCTTCTTTCTTCAGGAAGAGGTTGAAAGATTCGAAGCCGCTGAAAAATGTTACGGGCTGCAAAGCACGCTTTCCGGGAGAGGAGCAAGTGCAAGCGCCTATGGTCGGAGTATCTATGGAGGGTCGCAAAGCGTTGGTGGCGTGGTGGTCAAGGTCCCCTCGACTGGAACTCGCCCTGAGCAGGTGAGATTTCGTAAGCTATAATAATGCATCAAAGGTAGTTCGTGACCACAGAACTGGGGAACACAAATGGATCCCAGACACTGGAATAACATAAAAACGGTCAGACTTAGTTATTAGCAAAAGAGTATGTTCCGTATCAGTCTTCCCAATTAAGCAGCAGTTAAATCCTTGTGAGGAGGACAGAAGATTAGTTTACTTATTTTGTATCGATAAGCGTAAGATTAATCCCTGTGATGTTTGGAACCTGAAATGAACACTAACGATTGTATTCCCACAGGTTCTCACACTGGACTCAGATCTGCGTCGTACGGATGGCGGTGATGGCAGTGCTAGTCTTTTCACATCAAGTCTCGTGCAGCAATCAATAAGTCAGCAGCAGCCACCGGGACGCAGTGGAGTTGGGGTATATCTCAGTTCGGTACCTGAAGATGATGACCACCATCCTCTGGTAGCATCCCCAGACGAATCACAAACCATAGAGAGCTACAGAAGTGAAGGGAGCGAAAGGCGGATCTATGCAAATGTGCCTTACAATTCTCATCTAAACGAGACACGTTCAAGACGACCGCCACCAGGCACATCACACTGGTCTGATGAAAGAGACTCATATTCTCCTATAGAAGAAACGGAGGTATCGGATCAAGAAAACTCTGACATCCAATATTCGCGATATGGAAGCGAGAGATCGCAGACGTCGTACCCCAGAACCGCTTCACATCAAGGTAATTATGGCCCACGAACAACAAACAGGCCGAGGTATTAGTTGGAAATGTTAATTACAATTGCTGTTCTATAACACTTCGGTACACTTCATCTGATGCACCACCCGAAATACATGAAGATGCCACAAACACACACGATTTGAGTGTAATCGTAAGGCCACGTTTTGACGAGACAGCGCTTTCGGCCTCAATAGCCGATGCAGTAAGCCAAAGAAAGATGGGTTGTAAAGCATAAACACTGCCGTATAATGAAACTTTAAAAAAATGAAGTAACGTCAGACTACCGATAGAAAGCCCAGGGTTGCTGAAGGGAACAACATCGTGACAATACAGGGTATCCCTGGTCAACACATCACTCCTACCGTTAACTCAGATTCCAATGGTAGCTCAGAGGTATTCACGTGTTTTATACAACCAAACGCATTTAGAAACCAAGAGGCCTTTTCTAACATCCATCGACACGAACTATAAAGCACAATCCCTCCCAAATAAGAGTGAACAAAACCCTACTAAACTCAGGTACACTGCGTGTGGGTAAGGGTTCTTCATTGAGAAGCATTTGAAGCACGCATTCAAATAAGCCAGTGATTCGTCGGCGGTGAGGTCGTGCACCTTGATGCTCAAGGTCTCGATGGAACATTGTTAGTTAAAGTGTCCAAGACAAATTTGATGCAAACCCAACAGTAATTCTCTTGATTTCTGACTGGACTCGTAAGTCGATCAATTGGTGAACTGCAAGAACCTCTTTTGAATTTCTCTAAAATAAATTTCATCATGGACTACGTCGTCATACATTTTCTTCACGTGCGATCAGCTTGAATAGTGTGTCAAGTGGACAACTCCCGCCCACCTCTGGGCACAGCGAAAGTTGGAGTGCTAAGGTAGACTATACGAGAAACAAACTCCCAAGTGTTTTACATGAACGGGCTGCTCGTGTAAAAAAAGGTGTACAGGCTAAAATAAAATAAAAACGGACACCGCACAGTCGCGGCTACATCGTGACGCTGGTTCAGGGTCCAAAGCGTAAATTCTTTTAAAGGATTTTCAAAAAGGCAGACAGATTTGCATCAGCGTAATTGTGCGCCGCGAAGCTGATCTGAACTACGGGGAAACAAGCAAATAACCGCACACTTGGAATCAACTCAAATAGTTAGAGTTCGGTTTGTAATAGTTCATGTGCAACATTAAGAGATGAAGAGTAAGAGCTGCACTCTACATCGGACTACGGCAAGTGAAGATCCAAATCGTGTGAGGAATGGGAACACGAATCAACTCGACTAAAAGACAGACACACGCAACGTATTCATCTGTGAAAGTTGTAGCAATAGGAGCATGTATTTTACATGTGCAACGGATGATCCGTGCATGGAGTTCAGTGGATCCAGATGTATTGGTTCAAGGCGCCTCCAGGTAGCAATCTACCGTAGGTAAGCAGAGTGGACATTGGTCCACCGCCAAACATCCAATGCGGATGAAACTGTATATACCTTATCTCTGGCTCTAAAGGCATCTGAGATGCATCAACCAGCGTAGCTAGACTGATCACAGAGGCGGGCAAAGCGTCGAGTCCTGTCGCCATAGACAAGCATATAGAGTAGTAGATGAACTAAAACGCAAAGCAGGAAAGATAATAATGAACACAGGCCAGCCACGCAACGCGATATGCAATTTGGTTTTTTATAACGCCTAAGCAAATCTCGTGAGCGGAGCGCAAAATCAAAGCACCACTTGGTGAGCACTTGAAATAATAGTAAATAACAAAGTTTGCACTGACTCAGAAAGCCGCTTGAAAGCAAACCAGAGGGTATTTTAAACTAACCTGAAGCTATCGTAATGACACCGGGCAGCAAAATAGTCTGACATTTTGATCTATTGCCGTGACACATTGAACTGACAAGCAGAACTTCCCAACCGCTTCCAAAGTTACCATATCGCACGGTTCAATGACTAGGGATCACTTACACCAGGTCCCAACACTCATTTGTAGAAAGCTACGGACTGGTCAATAACACCCTTTTAGTTAGCGACGAATAATGGGTTGTGACATTCCCACAAGCACCATCGGACAGGGGGTGAGCACAAACGGTTCACTGATTTTCCACTGCCTACCGAAACATGCTAACTGACCGAGACCCACCCGTGGTTGACTGCGGTCTCAGGCGTACTATGCGGAAATACAGAAAAACAAGCAGCGCCCCTGCGGTTCCGCGGTCACAATACTGATAGGGAAAGGCGTCATTCAGTGACAAGACACGAGTCAACAACCACCTTAAGAGAAAGACAGCGATCACTGCCGATGCGCTAGATCCGTCATGGTCACTAGTACTCTGGCAACTGGATTCATTGTACTTCTGTGCACGGACTTTAGCTGATAAACCGGACCCGACCCGACGCTTGTGCAGCGACGTACTCGTTCACCGTAGTGAGCAAACCGGGGCGGGATAGAGGAGGTTGAAATATTCCGAGCGCTAGAAAGCGGTAAAAAGTATACGCCACATCAAACGAATCGATCAAAGAATAGCTTGGCGAGTTAATTGACAGGTCAAGCGTTTGTGACGTGTTTGAGGTGCAAGGTTGTACTGTTCGGTCAACCTAAGTTGCGGTATCACATAGGGGATGTTTTCAATTGTCATATACGAAGTACAATGACAGCAGTTTTGAACATCATTGGCGCCAAAATACCCTGCGCATAAATAGGATATGAGTGAGCACAGCCATTGCGATCTATATCAGATCTATATTCAGAATGCGCATCTTAAGCCAACAACATAGTGTAATCCAACCCAGAATTCGCAAGCGCTTGTGGATTCCCAGCCGCTAGTGCAAATGTTTCACACAGACCCAGATCAATTAGGTGATCAGATTACGGTAACCGATGGAATACCGATTAGAACCAGCCAAAGAGCGCTCTCACAGGATGATAAATTTGCGATAAACTGTGATGAGAACCAGAGCCGAGGTTTTTAATCTGATGACAGATTGAGTCTATTCTGTATACTGGATTCGATGAATACACATTTAGGTGGAATGACCTCGAACTAGCGTGAAAACGCGTTGAATCCAACATGCCTTTTGGTGCCGCTAGAGACAGCACCTATGGCATGCTTTCGTCATAGGTGAAGAACCTCATAAAGACCACGCTTGCTGGAAAGAATGCAAAGTTCGGTCATATATTTAGTTGTTTTATTGCATTCTCAAAAGCGGAATACATATCTGCAGCGTATTTTTCCGTTGAGTGAAACAATGTATCAAACAGAGTGGAATCCGTTTGCTTCGTGTGGATCTCCGGCGGAACAAGACTCCCAAACAGACCAGGGAGAAATGCATTCACTAGGCAAATGTCCAGAAGACGCGCATCGGGAGTGAGGAGCAACTGCACGGGCCCGGCGTCCGTGTCCCAAAGACTAAGTTCTCGCCTTGACGGTTGAAATATGAAAGGGGAAGTTAGTGAATTTGACTTTCTGAGCACAGGTAAGGGCAAAAAGCAAACTGTAACCGGAATGGGCGATTCATTAATCGTCAGACGCATCATTTCCCCAGAAGGGCACGGCTCGTAGCAGTGGATAAACGGGATATTTTTTCGATCATCAGACACCGCAACCAATTTCCGCCACCGTGTAGTGTGAAGCGCCAGCACGGCCGCAGGCACGCATGCGTCCAACAGGCAACCATCGTCATGTAGAACAAGAACATCCAATTTAAGGGCGTATGATGCAACTGCCTGCTTGGAGTCGCTGCCAGCATAAAGATGCAACTGTTCAACCGCATCCGGGCACACAAATGTGTCGATTAGTCGTTGCAACTTCGAGGTTAACGCCTGAGCCTCTCGGTTAGTTGGTGATGAAGCTGAGGTGGAGGCGGAACGATTGGCGGAACGACTGATCTCCACCAGACATACGATGCGGCCCGCATGCATTTGTTCCGGAATCACCTTGACCTAGATGAATAGAAGATCAAGTACCCAAACCGCGCTTACCTGAACACCACAGATGACCTGAGTATGACCCAAGTGTACCAAGGCAGAACCGTGACATGAAGGGAGGACAGAACTAGACAGCTGAATTGGAGCAGGTTCGAGTGGACCCCGATCATCCAATCGTATGTTCTTTTCGAAAAGCTGTTCAAAAACTACCAATGGTTTGAGCAGACTGATATCACTCATCTGAAGAGGAAAATATAAACGAGAAATTGAAACCTAAGGGTGTGACACAATGACGAGAAACAGATCATTTGCTCGATAGTACACAAAAACATGAGGCAAAAGTAAACGGTACTTGTTAGGTAGGATCGAAGAGAGTAGATAAAGTAAAGTGTGAAGAGCGCTAAAATAAGGTTGGAAGTTTCTATAAGTACCTTTCCATCAACTTTTAAAGCTCAAAGGAAACAGTAACCGGCGTGGTCGGGTCACTGACGGAATCGTATAACATAGGTGAGCGGAAATGCAACCGAGACCACAACGACTCGGTATGAGGATAAGCACTTCTGATATATCGTCAGAGTTAAGACATGGGAATATCGGTGACAGTCCAGGTTGTACATGCATAGGATTATCTTCATCATATGGAAACAGACTCGATAAGCTTCTGATAGGCTCAACGATTCAGTGGAGGGAATAACGGGAAGTGAAACTTTTTAAGCGGTAGTAGTTATAGTGGCAGGTGAGTAACGGGAAAGAAGATTAAAAATGGTCTGTGACAACTCCACTGATACATACATCGCCAGCGTGTGGGTTAGTAGCACAAGCAAGCAGGTACGATTGCGCAGGATCGGACCGATACACAGGATTGGGACAGAGTGATATCGCCAACGCTTGACCACTCATAGAGCACGAAGAAATACGACAGGTCAATACGGCAGCAGGGGGTGAACAGCGTCCAGCCGACGAGATATAGCTTGCTGAGATGTGACGAACAAAATGGGGACTCAATCGCCCGCCGCGTTAACAAAAAATCATCGCACAGTAAACAGGATTCTTGCACCCAAGGACAGCGCAGCACCTGGTTACACCACACTAATAGGGTGTAAAAATGGCCAAAAACAATGAGAAAAAGAAAATAAGGAAATCAACGTTCGTCATTTGTTAAATGCGTACGCAGAAGGGCCAAAGCCGAAAGGGGGAAGAATACGACTTAACTTCTTCTGGCTCAAGTGAAAATAGGCTATAGATAGGAAAAGGCATAGAGTCGAAAACCTGGTAGAAAAGATATCAGATGAAACAAGTCCCAATCCAGGAATGAGGGAACGCATGAGAGAAACCAGGAACATATCAATTAATCTGTCTTTGGCCACGACAAGGTCCCAGTCAACCAATCACAGCGTTGGTAAAAGTGCACTTCCTGGCAGCTAATCGGCAGACAGATGGAAAATGTGCATTTTGTAAATTTTGAAACAGAAAATTCCTGCTGACTCCAAACAGAAAAATAAGAAGACGTAAACTGTGAGATGACGCAGCCATTTCGTGCAAGCTTGTCAGTCGCAACCATGTTAAAAAACAGACATACAAAACGCATTTAAATGAGATAAATAGCAAGGCAATCGCTGGCCAATCGACGCGCCTCGCGCTACCAGTCCGCTGTTTCTGCACGCAAATCAGTGACCGTTCTTGATCGACGACAATGTCTTCCTGTCGCCTGAGAACGTTGGGCTACTGATTGCACATCAATAGTTATTGACTCAGCAAGTGCCTTGAGATTGCCGAGGCAAGTAGATTTTTCCATTCACTTGATTCCGCCCTTCAGACTGAGTAATCACTTGTGAATGTGTTCATCGAACCTGCCACCTAGACTTCGGTTAGTGCGTCCGACATGACTGTGATTGATGTAACTACGCGAAATGACTAAGCAGTTTACGTGTTCTGAGTTCTCGGTTTGGAAATTTTGCAAAAGCACGATGGATGAACAAATCAGGTATTCAGCTTGTATTCTGCAGGCCAGCTGTTCGAGTCTGCTTAGGTACGGACAATCTCACAGTATCCATGGCCCGCATGAGAGTACTGGTGGACACACGAAAGAAAAGCGTCGATACATCGTTCCAACGCACTGCTTATACCTTTGTGATCTTGCTAAGGTTGGTAGCGCAATGTAACTAGACGACTGATGGGTGTGCAGACGTACCAAATGGTGGATGAAAGCATAAACATGTAGGTGACCCCATTTGTTATGAAATAATCAACACAGGTAATGACAGTGAAAGATGACCAGTTTCAAATTTCCTCAAAGAGTAGCGCCCAGCTTTCCAAAACAAACGGTAAAACTGGCCGTCACGCGGCTTTGTGCGCCCTGTCCATCGCTTATAAGCCAAAAATAGCCGAGAAATATCACGCAGATGGTTGCGTGCGAATCCAGTGATCTGTTTACAAAGGGTGAAGCAGCCACCCAGGTAAGTAATCCGAGTGGTCGCTTCGAATTGTTATTCTGTGACGGCAACCGCTGCGGACGTCGATCCGAAGGTGCTGCAGCAGCTTGTAGTTCGAATTCACCAGATAAATGCGGAAGAGCGCAGCTCAACTTAGTTGGGATCCGGCTACCATGCCTTGCACCATCATGACAATAATACTTGACAGTAGAAAGTAATGTGGAACGCAAAAGGAACACGGAGAAGTGTTGCAGGGAAAGGTAGATAAGATAACCGATTGGGAGAGTTGGCAGTTAGGTGCAGGAAAGCGAATGAAAGAGGTTCACTACATCTGCGTCAGGTCGGAGGAGGCACCCAGCCACGGATAAGGCTTAATTCGGGATGCCAATCCAAGATGTCAAATACCAGCCCAACGAAGTCTCGTATTTGCTTCCTTCGTACTGTTCCATCGTCTCATCAACTGACTATGTGCGACTTCACCCAAATACGTGAAGCGACAGTATACAATACACACTGAATCGGGCAGTCAACAGCAAATGGGGAAGATGACTTAGCATACTTCGGCGGTTAAAGTTTAGTGGGCAGTGAAGAGAGCGGAACACTTTCAAAATCAGTCGATTACTGAAGGACAATCTAATCTTGGCGGAATTTGGACAACTGAGCGCTCTTACATCCGGTTGGTTTGTATCGTTGGTTGCATCTGAAACAGTGGCCTGTTTGTTGACTTGAATAGAATTCACGCTTGGCTATAACATATACTAGATAGCTTTTATCTTCCCATTTAAAAGATAGATGAATGCCATTAACACTCGTGCAATGAGGAAAAAGAGTGCGGGAAACCGAATAATCACGGTAAATAAGGTTGCAGTCACGAGTGCCGAGGAACCTCTGCTCTGTTGCACACATTCCGAGCCGCCTGGGATACAAGAGCAGGTAAATAAGTCTAAAAGACAAATGACAGAGAGTTCAGTTAGTGTTGTCGACCTCATATCTCCAATGTCAGCCAAAATAAAGATGTTGGAGAAATAGTTAGCCGAACAAAATGAGAAACTAGTTGTTTGACTCATTCGGAGATATCCTTATGTCAGTTTCATAAATAATTCAGGCTCCAGCTAACCCAGCGCAAAATTGGAGCATTAAACTTCCTAAATGCAGTCGCCTCTGAGGTAATCCAGAAATGCAGAAGGGAAAAAACGCCATCGCACTCAACATGGCTGACAATATCACGATTGACAACAATAGACATACTGTTTCGAGGGCGTGCAACATCGCTGAGACCGATATTAGTTGTAGAAGATTGAGAAAAAGTCTTTACGTTTTCCTTGTCCGACTCTGTTCAGCTTTCGTAGCGAAAGTCTCCCATGTTCGTTTATCAAAAGTCAAAATACTTCAAGATCTATTCCGAAATTTTGCAAAGTTGCTCTATTCGAAAACAGGTCACCTGTGCAACGTGAGCTTCAACGCATGGGTGCAACTAATGTCTCGCTTGAGCCGAAGCAGAGTCATCCCCCCTGCGCGCTTCCTGGAGTGCCAAGAAGGAGGTCATTCAACAGTGTTTGGTTCTCCCCTTCTAAGAACGTATACAATGTTAGCAAGGCCACTCTCCACACAAGCGTTGTTAAGGCTGGCGACAGCGTAGCGGAAATTGAGATGCTCACGCCTCCACATCACCTTAGTCTTATGGGCATAGGAAATAGTGTAGAATCACTCGATGCACCACGTTCTGACAAACCAGTAGGGATTGGGATCAATCCCCACACCGCTACTGAAACAGATACCAGTCCAAAATCATTCAATGGGACTATCGATAGCTCCAGTGAAGGTACATTACGGCCCATTGACATTATGACTACACATAGCATCAGTGGTTATGGTCCGTGCCCTAAGCGTCTTAGACCAAACAGGGGCTTTCGTGCTGGAAAGGTGACTACCCGTGTCCTAATGACAGTCGTGAATAATAATGATGCTGCACAGAGTGGCAAACCAAAATTCCCCATTGTTCCGTCGATGTGCTAAGGCTGTTCTCCTGGCAGACCTGTACATGGCTTTGTTGAAACGCAGACCAATTATTTACGCCCCTATCCATATTCTCTTCCGCCTCCTCCTCTCACAATGCCTTCTGCGAGCCCTTCGACAATGACACCCTATCCGCTTAAAGTCAATCGCCCCAAATTATCACAGCATTCTTTTTGCATTCCCCACCCCCTCTAATCCCGATAGGACTGGTGAATCTCACGGTAAGGGATTTGCTACGGAAGGCTTTAGAACTAATGTGATTGGAGGAGTAAATACTGGGTGGAATGATGAACAGCGCCAGGACTTTTTAAGACTGATAATAATTAATATCCGTTCTCTGTTGAATAAACCATTTACTCCACACCTTCATAAGTCTGAATAAACCTGACATGATTTTACTCACTGAAACCTGGTGTCATGATTCTATGCCCACCCAGCTGCTTTCTATCGAAGGTTACAAGCTTATTAGAAGTGATCGAAAGCAAGGCAGAGGAGGTGGTTGCATAATTTACTACTCACAGAACCTCCTTGTGTCTGAATTCACATTTCCACTTATATGCCCCACTATTGATTCCGCTTGGTTACTCTTATCCTTCGGTACTAAGCGAACTCTTGTAGGCTGTATATACCGCTCACTCAGGACCAGCTTCAGTGATGAGAACCAGTTGGTTAACATCTTCAATTACATATCGGAACTTGGTTCTTGGTGGAGATTCCAACTTACCAGATATCTGTTGGTCAAACTTAGTAACAAACGCGAAACATGCTGTGTTCATAACCTCCGTCATCACTG